AAAGTTGCTGAGATTGAGAAACACTGCTCTGGAGGATGAAGCAGGACCCTCTTGATGTGCTGTCCTTAAGCAAGGAAAGACCCCAGTAATTATTTTCAAAACTATGCAAAATATACTTTGCATACCTAAGTCAACCTGAGGGCCTCTTGATGAATTTTTGTAAGACTTTATGAGAGCAGTGTCTTTAAGAGTGATGAAAGAAAGCCACCGACATAATATTTGGGAGAGAAAAGGAACAAGTGGCAAATTATTGTGCTTTTTTGCTGCTCTGCAGCTCTGCTGACGTCGAAGGACGCTGGAGGACCGCTACCAAGTTGGGCATTCGTTAGCCCCTTGTGCCAGACGATGGCATCTCTTTTAACACGGGGCATTCGGCTCCAGTTCATAATATAAATGAACTGCATTGTGTAGTTGCTGGTGCCTCTTCTCTCCCCCCCCCCCTTCTGGCTTGAATGCTTCCCCACATTTTTATCAGATCAAAACATGGAGACTCTATTGCAGCTCCAGACGATTGTTGTAGTGCCAATTTACTAACAGCAGGCCAGGAACTGAGACATCAGTTGCATTTCATCTCTCATTCTTAGCGTCAGTGTGGTAAGTGCATGGACATCTTGGCTCAAGAACTGGGCGGGTCTGAGGTTATGGTTAGAAAGTGTAAGCTAATTATGACACTGATATAATCTGTTGAGCCATAAAGGATAATACTGTTTCTCAAGGTCTTTGAGTTGTTTTTCTCTTTCAGTCATATTAGATTTTTGGTTCTGCTTGCTGGGCTTGATAGCGGTTATTATTCCTGTATAGCACGTCATCTCTGGTAGCAGAAACCTGGTCTTCTGGTAGTATTGAAGCTGCAGGTAATAGATTTTTAAATTTTATACTGGGCTAGAAGTCAGAATGCATAAGACATTAAAATGAGAGATGTAGAGCACACAACCTGGTTCTTTTCTAGAGTTATTGGACATCAGTTCCAATAATGATCAGCCAGCATGAGCCAATGATCAACATATTTTCCACACAGCTGCCAGAACAGTCGTTTCAAACTTGTGGAACCTGTTTGAGCCCTACATATGGCAATGTTGACAATATCTCTAGGAACAGATGTGCACTGAGAACATTTGATGACCCAGGTCTTTGGCGAGGCAAGTTCATTAGTTTTTCATATGAAGTCTGTAAAGTCATTGAATTTGGATCTTGCCAACAAGGTGGCACTCAAAACCTGAAAAGCATGGGTGCTGCAGATACAGCTTAATTTGAATGAAAATTTCTCATGAACTTCAGAATTCAGCCAAGTCGCCCAAATCCTTTAAAACGTAGCCTGGACAGAATCTCAAGACATCTGAATAATTAAATCCATGGCACTAGAGAGCAATACGAAGACCTCAGGAGAGGTTAAGTCAGTAGCTTATCTCCTGTTACGTGAACTCAAGGTCACAAACCTGTGTACAAGCTTTTGAATTCTCCACAATGTCTCATGAGGCCAAAGATTGGGAGAGGACAAGGGGAAGGGATCAGCTACTATTGAAGCACTTCATCTGAAAGTGACCCTCCTCTGCTTCTTCAGTGCTTACTTCTGAAAAAACCTGCTTGCAGTGCTGAATATCTAAAAAGAACAGAGTTTAAAGCAGAGAGTAGGCAATCGGTGATCCCCAAATTCTTCTGGTTGAATGGACCTCAGGTTAGTGGACTTTGTATACAACAGACTAAATTTGAATCTGGTTTTCAACCCCGTTTAACTCTCCAGACTTACTGGATATCTGTTCAATGAGGATGAAGTGTGGAGTCAAATTTGGTAGGTGACATACATTTAGATTTAACAGATGTTTGGATTTTAATGGTCTCATTTTCCATTAAATGGTCCATTCAATCAAGATTTTACTAGTAGACATAGTTTAAAGCGATGGAGCGTTAGCAAAATATATTTCTCTTCTCCCATCTCAGTCTTATTTTAAGTCAGATAATCTAGATTTTCTACCATTATGCAACGCTTGGCTGATTACCTAGAATTTTATTCTTTACTTCTAGTAATAGGGCACTGGTCTACATTTGCTGCTCTGTGTTTGAAAATCATAATGGCTGTAGTAAGCCAAAACAAACCATACAAAACAAATCTTGAAGCCAAACAAACCATATCAGAGCACAGCATGACATCTGGGAATGGAGTCTTTTGTAACTGCTTGTTTGTGAGTTGAAGATCCAGTTTGGGACTGCTGCTGTCGTAAAACAACAAAATCTGAGGTTTCTTTGTTTTTTGGGATGAGAGTAATGACATATTTGAGACTGGGAAAAGTGGTAATTGCGTCAAACACTTTAAGGACCACTGCACTAGGTTTTTCTCTGTTTTCTATCCATCGTGATTTTATTGATGTCTGTCAATGTAATGGTATGTGGGAATGACCTTGGGAGACAGGAGGAAGAAGACAAGGTCAGATAAGAGGGAGCTTAGCCCACAGAAGAAAATGGGGTGTGGCAAACATCCCAAAAAGGACCCCCCTAGTTTCTTGGAGAAAGATGTACTTTCAGACTTGCAAGCTTCTATTAATGTAACCTTACAATAAAGATAGAGCTGATATTTTGGGGTGTGCTTCTTGTCTGGACTACCTCAAAGGGCTGACAGTCATGCTTTCCCTCCAAGCGAAAAACCACCCAATTTGGTAGTCTTCCCGTGTAGGAGAATAGATTTAGTTTCCTTCTCCTCTAGGTTGCTTTTCTTGGGCTTCCTCGAAGAGTTCTTATTTGTCCTGGGACAAGTAGAGGTTTTGGGGTCTCTGTACTATTTAAGATATGCTGTCCTTAGGGTGTTTTATTTATTTATAGCTACCTGTAATGCAGATGAGGCTGGGAAATTGAAACTTCCCAGAAGAAAGGAAATCACTTCTGAATTGCTGCCAAGAACGCTGCACAGATGTGAGCCTCTGGAAGTCAAGCCCAACTCAAAGACGCTTTCACTTTAGGGAAAGCAAGGTCATAGCAGCTGGTAGTGGATAGCCAACATTAGTCGATCCTGAAAAGGTTAAACCTAGATAATATTTGGACAGAGGACCAGCTGGGAAGGTTGCAAGTTAGTCTGTGAAGTCGGAAAAGCACCCAGAAAAAGACAATAGGAAATCACTTCTTTAATACTTCCCAGAAAAAAATGAATGAGCTCAATTGAAGAATGTCATTATCTTTTACTGCATGTGGACAGATCACCATCCTTGATTAGGATAGATCCACGGGCTTGGACTTGTTAAAGGTTTTGCAAAATACCATTTCCCCCACCTCTGAGGATCCTGCAAGTCATTCTCCTGCTTCTGGCAGCTTGCAAATTCCATCTCATTTTCAACTGTAGGTAGCCGAGCAACTAAAACTGGCATTAAATCTGTGTGGGTGGTACTAGGCTTCGTGCTTCATGCTTCTGAAAAGCCGTTTAGTCTGCAGAACCTGCCTGCTGCTGTCATAATGGTTGCAGAAAGACAATTCGACTTTCCTCCGGGCTTCTGTGTTTTGAAAATACCCTTAAGTTTCTCTCTCTCCCCCCCTCCAATCCCTTCCCACCACTGCCTTTGAAAATTTCTCCAAAATGTATCAGCCTTACTATTAAGGTGCCTAGGACTTATATAGAATGTGAAGAAGGAATGTCATGCTTAGAATTTCCTGCAGCCATGCAAATTTTGCGATTTTTTTTTTTTTAGCCCCTCGGTTTTTAACTGGCTTTGCATATGATGTGTACGTCCACGTGCTTGGCAAATGTGATTTTTGTTCACCCTTAAGCAGTCAACAAGTACTGCTTTTCTAACCTGATTTACTGCATTACAGCATCCTGAATATGATACTCGTTTTGATTTAATGTTAATGGTTGGAAGCTTAGCCAGCATTAGCAAATATCTTTTTATGCTGGTGGTAGCCTGGTTTTGATAGAATGAGACTCTCTCCTTAAAATATCACCACAGAAAAGGACCGTATTGATAATAACTCAGAACAGGCAGGCAGGAAAATGTCAACAGAAGCAGAGTGTTTTTGGCCTGAAAAATGACATTGCTGTAGTTCAAGGTTAGGCAAACAGGTTATATCCAGATGTTTTGATTTCAGGCCCTGTCGGCATGGCTAATAGCAAGGGATTGTGGGTATTGTAGTCTAAAGATTCTTCTGAGGACAAAGATGCCTGGCTTCGTAGGGTCCTTACAGAAATAGTTTATCAGAGTATCATAAATCAGTCTCTTGCCTTAAAGCATTTTGGTACATTGGATTTTGGTCTTAATCTTTCCATGCTTTGCTGATTCCCCCAAAGAATAGCACCCCCTTTGACTCAATATAACAGACAGAGGTGTTGATTCACTTTAAGGAGAACAGTAAAGCTAGAGGTTTCTATTCCTTTTTTTCTTTATGATTAGCAGATGTTGTTTTATAAAAAAAATAGCTAATTCATGAGAGCCTTACAAGGAACCAAATTAAATAGATTTTTTTATGCCTTTGTCCCTAGGTCCTTTTCAAGCAAATAAAGACAAGACATTTCTCTCCCTCTTCCTTTGCTTTTTTCTTTTAGGCTTATGGCTCTGGATGTGATATTGTCATCTTGGCAAATGACTTTGAATGTGTGCAAATTATTCCTGGTGCGAAGCATGGAAACATCCAGGTCAGCTGTGTGGAATGCTCTCAGCAAGGCAGGGTAAGAGACGTGAAGTGTTGGGGTGTTGTGCTGTTAAAAAGCAGCCCTGTTTTGAAATACTGAGGTTGAAGCTTGAAACAAGAGTTGCATCTCCTCTTTCAAAAGAGATCAGCTCATTCCTGGTTGAATCGTGCTTTGCTTCTATGGTTTTGTTAGGAAAAACATGTTGAATCTCTGGATGCTTTCTTTCTTTTAATTACTCCTGTTGTATTGTGTGTTTAAATGTGAATTCATCTTTTGCTTTTTCCCTCTGCTCAGATTGCAGCCTCTTACGGAAACACCGTGTGTATCTTTGAGCCCCTTGGGGTAAATTCTCATAAGAGAAATTGTGTAAGTGTTACGTGGTTTTTCTTTGTCTTTCTTACCTGCTATTGCCCGTGGATTCTTTCTTTTGGAACGTCATTTTTAAAGCCGGAATGACACATTTCACAGCCAACTCTCGTGCTCAACTCTTTTTGTCTGAAAAATAATGCTTTAAAGAGCAGAAGTTGCATTTTTTTAGCTGAGCTGCCTCCAGATCTTTCTCCAACTTCCCAGCTGCTTTCTTCCCAACCAGGGTCTCATATAAAATAAATCTATACCATCCCACATGCAGGTTTGGAAGCAAAGCTGAGGAGTACAAGGGAAAACAGGTGGGAAGAGATAGGATAAAGGATCATTACAGGTAGTTCTCATTTAATGACCACTCGTTCAGTGACCGTTCAACATTATGACGGTGCTGAATGAGTGGTACTTACAATTGGTCCTCATAATTGCAGCCAATGCTGTATCACCGCGGTCATGTGATCGTGATCCAGATGCTTAGTGACCAGCTCGCACTTACAACGTTGCAACATCTTGCAGTCACATGATCGCCATTTGCGACCTTCACTGACAGCTTCCAATAAGCAAAGTCAATGGGGAAGCAAGCAGGAGGTCCCAAATGGTGAACATGTGACATCACACTCAAAATGGCACAGGATTCACTTAACAGTGGCAACTGGAAGTGCTGGAACTGCTGTCACTAAGCAGTGTAGTCACGTGACATTGTGCTTTATGACCGTGTTGCTTAGCGATGGAAATTCCGGTACCAATTACCGTCATTAAGCGAGGACTACCTGTATGGGAAACATGTAGATTTTGCAATCTCTGTGCCCTCTAGATGTGTTGGACTTCCACTCCCATGAGCCTTTGACCATGTCTTACGAAAGTTGAACTTCAATACATGCGATGAGAAGGCTCCTTTATGATGTGGTCTGCAGGGGTATAGTATCAGCTGGTCTTTGACCGTAATAAAGATTTGATTGATAGTATCAGCTGGTAAGAGATGTGCCAAGTGAAATTGGCTGTAATAAAAGGTATAGGAGGTATTGGGAGCATGGAGTAAGAATATGCTGAATCCTCCCTCTGGCCATTGCTCCAGATCTAGAATGTTTGTGAAACTTATCCATCTGATCTAAAATTAGGTTTAAATATTTCTCAATGTTGTTAGGACAATAGATAATTGTCATTAACTAAGTCATACCATTGATCAGTCTATATTAGTTTAGGTAACACTGAATGGCAACATATGGGATTTTATTCCTTGCAACTCTACCAGAAGATGCTGGGTGTTGAATAGACAGATAAATGGACGGGTTTTTTATTGTAATCCTAGAACACTGCAAAACCAGGATATAATAAAATTTGCAACCAGCTCAATTATATGTGGGCATTCTTTATGTTAAGCAACTTTTCTACAATGAGCTTCAGTTGTCCTTAAGATAGTATTTTTGTAATCATCTTTTTGTGGCTGGGAATTCATGTCTATTTGTGTATGACTTCTCTATGCAAATCTTTAATTTCACTCCTCCTAATTAAGCAAGGGGGCATCAAGCTAATTTTCTCCGCCTTTTTCTTGATGTACTGAGAATTAGCTATTCATGGAGAACAGCGGGGTGTAGGCCCTTTTTTCCCTACTTGTTTTTATCTCAGAGCTGTGATTGCATTCCATTTCTGAAGGTGCTTAGTTTATGTATGTGGTTGGCATTAATTATTAGTGCTTAAGCATTCTCTTGGCCAACAGCGTGATTGCTTAATTTTGTCAGCCAAATGTGGTCCAAAAGAATGATGTCTGAAGCTGCCTCACTTGTCCCCAATGATTAATTTTTGCCATTGTCCTACAGCAACTGAAGTGTCAATGGCTGAAAACTGGACAGTTTTTCCTCAGTTCCATGACCTTCAACTTGGCATGGGATCCTCAAGGTAATCAGGTGTGAATGTGGTCACATCTCAGTGTGTAAAAGTACAAGAGGCTAACCTGGGGTATCCTCAGGGAAAAACCTGTTCAGCAATCCATATACATGTGGCTTTATACTCCTGATGCAGCAGACAGTGATCTGTGAAAGCTTCTACATTAATACATTTGTTAGCTTTCCTGGTGCCCCTTAAAAAATATTTTTAAGATATTTCTTGTCTGAAACAATAAAGAGCCATTTCCTGTTTTGGAAGATAACACTTCTGGAAATGCACAAACCACACCCCAGATATTCAAATGGAGTTGTTTTGGAGGACACATGAAGTTCTGAAGATAAACTACTCTGTGGCTGACTTTCATTGCATACAGTGATAACAAAACCACTCCTCGTGTTAGTAGAATTATTTTCTATACTGAAATGTATTTATTTTTTCCCAGTATTTTATTTCCTCCAATACTATCCCAAGCTATAACCAGTAACCAGGCTATTGTAGAAGCTGATATGTGTTAGATAATCTGTTCTGTGTCCCTTAAAACATCCTTCGCTTCCAGGTAATCGCTTGCTCACTGCAACGGATAATTTGCAACTGTGGGCCCCTCCAGCGAACGATGTGCTGGAAGAAGAAGAAGAGGAAGGGGAAGAAAATCCTGACATTGGGATCAAAGATGATAAAAACCATCCTGTTCTAAATGACTGGAAATGCATCTGGCAATGCAAGTAAGCAACCCGTGGTGGAAAGAGAAAAAGCAGTGATGTTGCTTCGGGAAACATTTGTGTATTTAGCTTACTAGCAATCTAGTTACCCAAGTGCTGTTTCAAATTTGCTGCTAGAAGGGCCAGTTCAGGGTAGCAAAAAACATCTATAGGAAAGGTAGCCAATTCCCAGTGCATTTCAAATTGCAAAGAGTTTTCTTCCAGAACAATGCTATTAAAAAACCCTGGCTTTTTCAGAAAGCCAAGGCGTAAAAACAAGCTGCAGGAACTTCTCTATCCACTTCCAGTTCTGTTAAAACTGTAGTTTGTGTGGATCTTCAACTCAGAAAAAGGTTGGAAGCCATAGTTTTAAGAGAGACTCTGGTTTAGGAACATGGAGGAAGAAGAACAAGCTATGTGTGAATACTTGGGACACTATATCAGCCTGTTTGTTTTTTAAGCTGGAAGAGAAGATACTTGATAAAGAAAGAAGTCAGTGGGGCTGCTCTTCAGTCTGCCAAACCATGGAGATTTTTCTGAAAAGTTCACAGATTAGCCTGATTGTATATTTAATCTTAGTTTGTTAAATAAACCACAGCTGGATGTAGGTTTACACAACATTCTCAATCCTTTCTTCTGTACCATTGACAGCAGTAGCAACAGATCTCTCAATGCTATTTGAGTGATGAGGGGTTAAAATTGCTAAAGTAACAAGGCACCATTTCACTATTCTACCAAGCCACCCAAAAAGATTTAGGGCGGATCCAGCTTTGATGATCTAATTCGTTTTTAAAAATGCATAATGTCATGCAGCAATTAATTCTGTGCAGGTAACAAGATTTTGAGCGTGTCCATGAGCATAGCCTGGCATAGATCACCTACCTTGACATTGTAAAGCTTTGTGATATTTATAGTAATGGCTACTTAAAACCACCATATCCCCTAAAGTTGAGAATTGCCTTCTTGGATTGTTTTTTAGGACAGCTGTTTCTGTACACTTGATGGAATGGTCCCCAGATGGTGAATACTTTGCAACAGCTGGGAAGGTAAAGGTTTTTTTTTTAAAAAAAATACTGTTTTGAGTCAGGCTCTGTGTCATATTACTTGTGGTCAGTAAAATAGAATTATTTTATGGTGGGTGTGGGTGTGTGTGTATGTATGTATGTATGTATGTATACTAATACATATAGTACTAAATAGGCATATGAAACTAATGCAGTGGAGGACATCTATAGAGAATTTGCTGGACTGCAGGTCCAGCACCTACAACTAGAAGAACCAGTGGCACGGGATTATGGGAGTAGTGGTTCATCAGCAGTCATCAACAGTTGGACCCATTGATACTGATTTCCTCTGTCCATCATGGGTTTGGTCAACCCAGGCTTCCACATGCCACTTTTTAATCAGATAAAGTTGTAGATTAAAGTTTAGTCATACTGTGCTACATGCTGGATTTCCTACTAACTGCATGGCAAACCAATGGCTACTGTTCACTTCCCACCAGCTAGGAGGTACATGGGGTGTCCTGACACACACTCAAGATGCAAGTTAGTTTGACCATGTAGGTCAACTAAGGCATGAACGACAAGACAAATAGATGAAGGAAGAGTGAATTGGTTAAGAGGTAGGGGAAAACTGAGAAAGGTGTGGTTGGATTAAGTTGCTGAGATCCTCAAAAGAAGAGAGGCGAGAAGTTGAAAGAGCAAAAGGAAGTCTATGAAGATGTCTGCAGATAAGGTAGAAACATGGATGGTGTGCAAGGATGGAATGGTATGGAGAGAGAGAAACTAAATGGTGCTGGAGTAAACTAGATTTAGCTATGTTTCCTTTTGGTTTGCTTTTCTTATTTCTTTTACATTTCTTTGGCTTGCTGTTTTTTACTCCTTTTCTCCACTGTGCGTAACATTGCTTACAGAGGAGGGAATAACACAATGGGTATGAATAGAGGTAGTTCATTAACATCTGTAGAGTGAAGATTTTCCACCCCTGCTCTAATTCACCAGTGTTGTGGGGTGCTTTGGATTCCGTTTCAAAAAGATGCTTCAGACTATGCTGATTTTGGTTGGTTGATTGGTTGGTTGATTGATTGATTGATGCTTCAGTGCTTGTGTGTGAATGTGGTTCCCGCCTATGACTCTTAAAAATTGCCATGTCATTTCCCAGTATCACATGACATTGCAGAAAACAGTCATAACTGCAGGAAAAGAGGTGGCTTCTTCAAAGGGTTGCAGAGAAGGGCCACCTTCATGCTCCTGTAGATTCCAAATGACCTCTTCCACATTATTTGCAAAGCACAGGGCAGGCCTTAATGCCCAACTTTTCAAGTAGTTCAAGGTGAAGCAATCTGTGGCTTTTCAGGGGATATTTCCCTGAATTCCAAACCATTGTTTGTTAAGGCTTATGGGAGTTGGAGCTCATGACAACTGCAGAGCAGTGATAGCTTGCTTCAGAACTATATTTTTGCTTGTGTGTGGCATCCTCTTAATATTGCATTTTATAAAGATTCTTGCTAGGAGCCCCTGACATAAAGGGAAGTTCCTAAAGCTCCTTTTCTCATTTGTTCCATCTGTTGCGAATGTTCATATGTAACTCCCAAGCGTTGTGATTAAATAACTACAGCAGATGGTCTTGGGAGCCAAATTCTGCTTTTGCCAGAGAAGGTTTCCACTCTAATTATTACTGTGCATAGCTTCATCTGACTTACCCTGGAGGTTGTGGCTCTTAGCTTAGCAGATAGATAATGCCGGTATACAAAAACAACAAACAGCCCACGTAATGCTCGATGATGAAATGCAGAAGTTCAGTAATGGAGCAGGAAAGACGAAACGTTGATCTTCTGGCTTGGAGAGGAAGTTGCTTTTTTGTGAGAGAATGGCAGGGAACTTCCTGAAGCAATGTCACAAGAAGCCCTGTTTGCAAGTAAGTTTACATGCCATCATACGTGATCAGCTGAACTCCTGAATTTCCATCTTCACTCAGATATGTCCCCTAGTTGCTTCAGTTGAGAACTAAAATAAACACTGTGGTACCACTGGTGGCAGATCATTTATGGATCCCTTGATTTGTATCTCTCTAGATGTGGTTTCTGACTTCATATATCTTATCTTCTGCCAGATATAACATCCGTTTCCTGAATATATTCAGCCAAGCGCTTGATCATTCACAGTCTGCCAGTCACATTTGATTAATCAGGTTCTCTTTGAAGGCAGGCTCTTCCCTTTTCACATGTGTTGTATTTGGGAAGTCTGTTTTGTTAGCTAGAGCTGTAGAATTTCTTTGAAACCTTGCCATCTTGCAAATGACCATTTAAGGTTGGAGTGCATAAGGTTTTGCTAACCCAAGGGCTGCATCAGCTTGGTGTAGCATGTCAACAAGGGTGGGGCCAAGACTTATTTGAAGGAAACGTTCGGGAACCCTCGGGGCTGAAATGGGTGCTTTAAGCTTTGGCAAGCTAAAAGCACCCATTTTGCACCACAGCCTACCTCTAACTTTAAAAAGACACACAGAAAAAAAGACCAACTCTTTTGGACAAAGCTATTCTGAAGCTGAAGGTGAAATGAAAAAGGAGAAGAGGATGACCAGCAGCAAGGTGGATAGACTCAGTTACAGTACTGATGAGTTGCACCCTTGGGAAGGCTGAAGGACTGGATTAGGGACAGATCATCATGGAGGAGATCTATCTGTGTGGTCACTAAGATTCGTCAATGGCTTGATGGCATGTAAACAATTCAGAGGATGTTCTGGGGACCACAGAAGGGATACAGGGCCTAGTAAGCAGCCCCTGAGGTATGCCTTTTGCTCTGTTTGTTTACCTGTACTTAATTCTGTTCTTCTTCTACCAGATGCTATAATATCCTCTGTGGGAACCAGAGTTTCAGCCAGCCAGCGTAGTGCTCCCTTGCATTTTGATGCTGTAGGGTTTTGTGGTTAGCTGAGCTCTTATTTTCCTTGCCTTGGAGCATGAACCACCTTGCCGAGGCTAAAAACAAGTGCAGGGTATTCAGCTTCTATAATGCGGTTGCTCCTAAGCGTTGGATACTAGAGCTCAGCCCTAGAATTGGCCTTTCTAAACTGCATTTCACTGAATTGTACTGGGCCTTTTGGACTTGGTCTCTCTCTTTAAGCCTGCAAGGATTATGATTTTGAAAATGATTGACGTAGAGCGGGGCCAGCGTCCATCCCATTTTCTGAACCCTGTGATAAACAACTTACTGTAATAAATGTTTGCAAATCCCGTAATCGGTTGAACTGGAAAAGGTTTCGTTTAATGTGCTTGACGCATGTGATTGACTTATCCAAATGCTCTGCATGAAACATTAGCAGCTTCTCTCGTGAGGCTAATTCACTAGCTGAAGGAGATTCTGTATCTAGCAATGATATTCAAATTGTTTATTGCAGCCACAAGGCCAGATACAGTAAAATACATGGATGGATGGATGGATGGATGGATGGATGGATGGATGGATGGATGGATGGATGGATGGATGGATGGATGGATGGATGGATGGATGGATGGATGGATGGATGGATGGATGGATGGATGGATGGATGGATGGATGGATGGATGGATGGATGGATGGATGGATGGATGGATGGATGGATGGATGGATGGATGGATGGAAAAACAATGAGTACAGTAAGATCTAAAGATAAATAAGTATAATAAAATAGAGTAATTTTTTTAGTTATTATGTAGTTATTATTTCTGTTTCGCAGATGGGAATGAGAAAAGCCTTGGGGCACTACCTCTGTTCTGTGCAGAACAAAAGCTTTCAATAAACTATCAGAAAACTATCAGAGAACCAACATTTTCATTTTTGCCCGACATTGTCATATGCCGGTGGCGTAGTGGCTTAATGACGCTGGAGTTGCTGGCCAGAAACGGTCGACGCTCCAGTGGTTCGAGCCCAGCTCCGCGTGATGGTGTGAGTTCCCATCATTCGTCCCTAGCCCCTGCCCACCTAGCAGTTCAAAAGCACGCCACCTGCGAGTAGATAAATAGGTACTCCCATTTCAGTGGGAGGAAACGCTGGCGGCGCTCTGTGCGGGGAGCAGGAACCAGTGCCGGACCTGCCTAGACGCGATTGGCAGAAAAAGATTGGCAGATGAAGAAAGCCCGGATGAGTCGACTTCCTGCGACCGCTGCTGGCAGAAACTAATAATTGTGTTGTGTTAATTAAAAATAATTAATGTTGTATGCCGCCCAGAGTCACTTGTGCAAGACGGGCAGTTAATAAATGTGATATATTAAAAAAACAAAATTCACAAATGGCAAATAAATGGGACTCCAATGGAGCAAGCGCTCATCCACAAAACAATGATATACTTGCCGATTTAAAAATTCTTCACTGTAAGAAAGGCCTGCTATGGGGCCGCAGCAGAAATAATTCCACTGAGTTTTTCTTGTTCTTTCTTTTTCCTGTTCTCCTACAATATTAGCAGCTGCTTTAGGATGAATGGAGATTTGGAGTGGCTAAAAGCATCAGAGAGGAAGGGTCCTCTCCATTTCCTTGGCTCCTGCAATGCAGCTTTAATCCAGTTCATGCAAGAGTTTGAAATGCAAATGTCCTTTTCTATATTTTGTTTTATTCAGGATGACTGTCTCTTAAAAGTCTGGTATGCAAAGATGGGCTGGAAATCATCTCTCCTTCCCCAGGAGGGAGATGAAACCCGAAAGACTTCTCCATCTGTCTATTTTGCATTTGTCTACCTTTCACATCCTCGAGCAGTGACGGGATTTTCCTGGCGACACACTAGCAAGTTTATGCCCAGGTTAGAATAACTCTGGAAGAAAATGGTACCCTCTCCCCCAAAAAAGAAGAGACATTTGAGTCCAATAACCTAGGGATCTCTGTGCTGATTGTGTTTGATTGGTGTCCTGACCAGGTGACATTCAAAGTGGATAACTTTTGTAAGTTGGCAAGCGCATGCAAGAGAAAGAATGGTTTCCTTATGTGCATTATTATCTGTATTAAGGCTTCTCTATTAAGGCTAGGAAAGCTACAGTGGATGGATCTGTGAAGTCACCGGGGATTGAGCACAACTCAAAGGAAACTTTCCTTTTCGATTCGTCTCTTTTTACATTCCTTTACATCACTTACTCTATCAAACATATATTGAAAGAGAATTAAGCTTCCTCAGCGGGGCTTACTCCCATAGGCTTATGCAGCTTGAATTACTCCCATGAAATTTTGTCTAACTGGCTTCAGTGCTGGATCAGAAAATGCTTTTTCTACATAATTCCTTTTTTTTTTTTCAAAAGCATTCTTCCATGGGGCATGAGTCTGGCTGTTGTTTGAAGAACTAGGGAAGAAACCATCCGTGGAAGCCACTTTCCGCTTCTTGGCCTGAATTTAATTAAGGGTTGGCCTTAGCAGGACTAAGCACCCATAATTCAACAGAGCTATGAACAACAGCAACAAAAGTCACTTCAGTTGTGAACTAAGTGCTGATAGAATTGGAAACAGAGAAATCTCACAGAAATCAGAGGAAAATATTAGCATGTTTGGAGGTGGTACGAACAAGGTTTTTTAAAGAACAATTAAGGGGTAAGCTTCCTGTGCAGATCAAGAAAAATAATGAAAAGTGAGCCTACACAAACCCTATGAAGTGGAGGAGGACAACAGGCTAAAATAGAGAAATAGCAGAAGGCCCCATATGGGGGAATAGCTTTCTAGATGGGACAGATTGCCCACCCTTGAAAAAGACCAAGGTGGGAAAAGGCAACCTGATGTCTTCCAGGTATTTGGAATCCCATGCTGTTGACCTTTGTGCTGGTTGGGATAGGTGTCCAAAACATCTGGAGAGTCTAGCTTGCCCATCCCTGCTCTGATATTTTGTGGCTGGCTGTTTTCATCTGTGGACAGGTCAGTTGTGGTCCAACATAGTCTTTTCCTTGTGCTTCTCAGGGGGTCTGTTTGCAACGTTCTCCTGACTTCGTGTCAGGATGGCATTTGCCGGCTCTGGGCGGAGACGTTGCTGCCTGAAGATACGCTTCTGGGGGAGCAGATCTGTGAAACAAGCACGTCGAGCATCAGCTCCAGCACCAGCTTCTCGCGTTCAGGAAGGCACAAGGACAACATTCAGCATGCTTTAGAAGTACGATGGAAGAAAGCATGGGGTGCCAGATATTCCCTTTTACTTCTCTGGTGTTAAAATCATCTCTTAGTAGCAGAGATTCAAAATTGGAATGTCAAAATCTATGAAAATGTATGCCTGCCTCCTTCCTTCCTTCCTCCCTCCCTGGGAGGTGACCTCAAACTAAAAGGGGGACAAGAGAAGACAGCAGGCAAAATAGCTACTGGACACTAGTTCTTAGTGACATCTTCTCTATTTTGACATTACTAGTTTGGCCCAATTTTAGCAAGAAAAGCGGCTTATGTTTGGGAGGTAAATGCTCCTGACTGAAATGACTTTCCTGATGGCGTTTTGTTCTGTTTTTTTTTTTAATTCTTTTTGTGGTCTTCTGTCCTGTTCTTTCTTCTCTTCCTCTGCTTCAGACAATCCATCATCTGAAAAACTTGAGGAAGGGTCAGCGAAGATCTTCGGTGCTTATCACTCACGCAGAAGACCTACCCAACCAATTGGGAATCCATGAAGTGCAGCGACATATTTCTCACCATGCTAACGCACTCTGCCATTTCCACATCGCAGCAAGCATTAATCCCAACACTGGTGAATTCAGTATTTGTATTTCCTGTCTATCCTGTGGAGTAAAAGTTTGTCAATTTTTTGGTTTTTGCACACTCAGTAGAAGAACTTAATTTTCTTTACAGGACAAGACCAGGCTTGTTGATTCTTCAAACTTTGTTATGAGCTTTGAAATTCTTTCATCTCTCTTGTATAATTTCCACAGTGCCTGAACTGGCAGACTTTAATTGGTCTTTGCATTATGAGTCAGAAATGGAAATTGTTGTTTAGGAGTAGCTTTTCCTTGTAGGCTTGGAGTGATGACTTTTTTAAAAAATTAAATGTTGCAAAGAAAAGAGTAAAACAATAGAAAAAGGTAAAAACAGGAACAGGAGAGGTGGAGAATATTATATATATAAAGGCTTCCCCTACCTACATATATTATATAGTTTTACATGCAGTCTCCATAAAAGATGGCCATATTTTATCGTAGTCATCCATACTTCATCAGCATAGTGGCTGTGGAAATAACCATAGAATGCTGAGTTTGATGGCATGGAGAATCTGTTTTGCATTAATTTCATCTTGAAAGGCAGGTTTGGAACTGGGGAAATGGTTCATTTCCAACCCTCTGAGCTAAGGTCATAACAATTCCAAGATGTTGTTATAGGTAGTTCTCAATATATGACCACAATTGGGACCAGAACTTCTGTCGCTAAGTGGAAAGGTTGTTAAGTGAGTCGTGCCTGATTTTATGACCTTTTTTTGCTGTGGTCGGTAAGCAATTTACGTGGTCGTTAAGCGAATCCGGCTTCCCCCATTGACTTTGCTTGTGGGAAGCGCCCTGGGAAGGTTGCAGATAGCAATCACATGACCCCAGGATGCTACAACTGTTGTAAATACAGTGGTACCTCGGGATACGAACTTAATCCGTTCCGTGACTCTGGTTGCAACT